AAGAGAGAGAGAGAGAGAGAGAGAGTGTGTCAGTTGCAGTTCTATACCAACAGTACTCAATGCAGCATCACGATAAAGACCTCTGTTTAACTATAGAAAGGTTTCATGGTGTATGAGATGATATGTTTCTTTCAGAATTTAAGATGTTGCAGAATCCTTGAGATCAAGAGGAAAAGGGGAATCAGAAAGAAACGCTGAAGAGATCTTAATTGAAATCATTGATAAAAGGTAAAGAAAAAGACACTGCAGAACTACAAATCAAGAGAGCAACCCAACCGAATCTCTGCTTATTAACAGAGTTTAGCCAAAAGCACCAACGTGATAGAAATCTGTCGTCTTCAATTGAAGGGGAAGTAGAGATCCAGCCATGAGCTGTTGTGTTCGACGCAAGAAATTGGCATGATTTCTTCCCCGCCACCGCCGCCAAAGATTACGTTCTCGCTGGGATGCATGGCATCGAGGAGCCAGTTCTGCCGCTGAAGCGAATCCATGGCCATCTCGATCGGGTCCTTCGCAGTGACCTGGGAGGTCGCCGACGACTCCGCCGCGGAACGCAGCGCCAGCTGCGTCGTCTGCTGGTTGATCCGATCCTGCACCGACTTCAGCTTGGCGTCCACCATCCACGCGAGGCTCGTCGCGTCCTCGATGTTGACGTCGTATAGGCTCCGTCCCGCCACCGCCTGGTGCATCAGGAGGCTCACCTCGAGCTCGCGGTTGTCGCGCTCCTGCCGCCGGAGCTGCTCCTGCAGCTTGGCGGCCCGTTGCCGGAGGAACCCTTCCTGGTCCATCATCTTCCGGCACTTCTCCATCTCCGGCATGCTCTTGAACCGCTCCAGCAACCGCGCCGCCTCCTGCGCCGACGGCCACGCCTCCGGCTGCTGCTCCTGCGGCCCGTAGATGATCATGCACGCCTTCACGTTGCACAGCGTCGCCAGCTCGCTCACCTTCTTCATCAACCCCTTCTTCCGTTTCTTGAAGGTGGCCCGCCGCGTGGAGTCATTGGCGATCCATGCCAGGTTCACCTTCTTCCTCGCCATGTTTCCACCTCTGCCAATAGATCCTGTCAGATAGCACCGAGAGCCGACTTTAATAGGTCGGATCAGATACCAGAATCATAAAGATTCTGTCAATTAAATAACATGGAAACAGGGAAAGAGGAACAGGAAACAATTGCTAGAATCCCGCCTCTTCTTTCTTCCATAATATATTCTTTCCTTAAAATCCCATCATATTTCAATCTCAGGTTTCTCAATTTCTCAATGTAAACCAAATTACATAATCTCTTCCCCATTCGATTTATCTTTCCTATAAAAGCTACTACTGATCCCCTCTGATTTATTGTATATTTTGATATTCACCTCTGATTTATTGTATATTTTGATATTCACCGATAAGAAATGTAATGAGAAAAAAAGAATTTGAATTAGTTGAATATAATATCTATTTATATATATTAGAAGATAAATCAATAAGATTTTCTCATGTAGTTGGAGAAATCTTATCTACTATCATACTGTCGTTAGATCGAGTTTCTATCGAGGATGTCGATCTTGGATCAATGCAATGAAAATAATTTGCAGGCGAGAGGTTTCGTGAGTGAGTCTGCTAGTTAATCAATCGTATGTATATGAGAAATGCGTAGTTGATGTCTGACAACTTGATCTTGCACGAAGTGGAAGTTGATGACAATGTGTTTCATGCGTAAGTGGAACACTGGATTGACGCATAAGTAGGTGGCTCTAACAATATCATAATATATTATATGAGTAATTGTGGAGTAAACGTTAAGTTCCTTGAGTAGATTTGCGATCCAATTAAGTTCAGCTGCAGCGGTGGTAATGACATAGTATTTAGCTTCAATTATGGACGTGCGATTATTTTTTACTTTCTAGAATTTCAATTGATTGAATTAGCTCCAAAGAAGATAATATACCTTAACGTGGATGTTCTATCATCAAAGTTTCATACCCAATCAACATCAACAAAGGCATGGAGATAAAGTGAGACATGTTTGTGGAGAAAAAGGTCATGATTAAGGGTCCCTTTAAGATATCGTAAAATTTGTTTGACAACAGAACAAAGCATAATAGATGGTCGATACATAAATTATGATAATTTATTGACTGCAAATAAGATGTCTAGACGGGTGAGAACTAAATACTGTAAATAGCCAAGTACTTATCGGTATTGAGTAGAATCCATATCAGGGCTTCTATCACATAATTTGATTCACTAGTAGAGAGAGAGTTATAATCACTTTTGTATCGTGCATATTATCTTTGATAATAAATATTGAATATACTTTCTTTGTGATAGGAAAATACTAAATGTTCCTTCCACTCCCAAAAAGTAGTTTAAGGTTTGTGGATCTTGATAGGAGAATCGATCGATCAATTGCTTTAAGAATGCCAGAATTTCCAAAGGATCATTGCTCGTGATAATAATATCATCCACATAAACTAGAAGATATATTGTACCTCCATTTTATTGTCATAGGAATAACGATGTATCAAACTTAGAATTGATGAAGTCGGTTATTGTCAAAAATAACCCAAATTTAGTATACCAAGCTCTTAGAGCTTGACAAAATCCATAAATGACTTTTTGTAGTTTGTAGACATGCCTCAGATACTAAGGATGAACGAAATTAGGAGGTTGTTGCATGAAAATATCTTAAGTTAGAGACCCTTGTAAAAAGACATTGGTAACATCCAGTTATCATAGGTACTAGCATTTTGAGATAACCAAACTCAGGATAAGTATAATTATTGTGAGTTTAATAAAGAGATTGAATGTTTTTTGGGTAATCAACACCAGGTCGTTGATGAAACATTTTGACTACTAGACATACTTTATATCGGGCAACGGATTTGTTTGGGTTCCGCTTAATTTGAAAGATTCATTTACACCCGATAATATTTTGTATGTGATGAAAGGTTATTAGGGTCAACGCAGTGTTATGGAGGAGAGCATCATTTGATGCACAGCATCGCCAGCTTGTTCACCTTCTTCATCAACCCCATCTTCCGCTTCTTGAATGTGGCTCGTCGCATGGAGTCGTTGGCGATCCATGCCAGCTTCACCTTCTTCCTCGCCATCTGTGTTTCCACCTCTACGAATAAAAATCCTTAATTGCACTAAGAGCCGACTTTAATAGGTTGGATCAGATAGCAGAATCATAAAGATCCTGTCAATTAAAGAACATGGAAACATGAAACAATTGCTTGAATCCCGTCTTTTCTTCTTTCCAGAATATGCTCTTTCCTTAAAATCCTATCAAGTTCCAACCCTAGATTTCTCAATTTCTAATGTAAACCAAATTACATAATCTCTTCCCATTCGTATCTAATCTAATTTGTCTTTACTATAAAAACTACTACTGATTGCCTTTAATTTCTTCTATATTTTGACATTCACTGATAAGAAATGGAATGAGAAAGGATTTTTCTCAACTGATCAGTAAGATTTTCTTGTGCAATTGGAGAAATCTTATATACTATCATGCCCTCGCAAAATTAAGTTTTTGTCAAAGATGTCGATCTTGGACCAATACAATAAAAATATTTTACAGGAGAGAGGCTTTGTGAGTGAGTCTGCTAGTTGATCAGCCGTACATATGTAAGAAACACGTAATTTATGTCTGACAATTTGATCTCACATAAAGTGGAAGTCGATGACAATGTGTTTCATGCATAAGCTAAATACTAGATTGACGCATAAGTAGGTAGCTCCAACAATGTCATAATATATTGTATGAGTAATTGTAGAGTTAACATTGAGTTCTTTGAGTAGATTTGTGATCCAATTGAGTTCAACTGCAGCGATGGTAATGGCACGATATTCAGCTTCAATTATGGACCATACGATTATTTTTTATTTTTTAGAATTTCAATTGATTGGATTAGCTCTAAAGAAGACAATATACATTGACATAGATATTTTATCATCAAAGTTCCAAGCCCAATCAACATCAACGAAAAAGACCATGATTGATGGTCCCTTTAAGTTATTGTAAAATTCATTTGATCACAGACCAATGCATAATAGAAGGTCGATGCATAAGTTAAGATAATTTATTGACTACAAATGAGATGTTTGGATGAGTAAGAGCTAAGTACTATAAATAGCCAAGTACTTATCGTTATTAAGTAGAATCTGTATCAAGACTTCTATCACATAATTTGATTCACTAGTAGAGAGGAGAGTTATAACCACTTATGCATCATGCATGTTTGTCTTTGATAATAAATCTTGAATATACTTTCTTTGTGATAGGAAACGACTAAATGTTCCTTCTACTCACAAAAAGTAGCTCAAGGTTCATAGATCTTGGAGGGAAAATCGATCGACCAATTGCTTTAGGAATGTTAGAATCTCCAAAGAATCATTACACGTGATAATAATATTATCCATATACACTAAAAGATATATTTTACCTCCATTTTGTTGTCATAGGAATACCAATGTATCAACTTAGAATTGATGAAGTCAGTTATTATCAGAAACAACCCAAGTTTAGTATACCAAGCTCTTAGAGCTTGATGAAATCCATAAATAGTTTTTTGGAGTTTATAGACATGCCTCAGATACTAAGGATGAATGAAATTAGGAGGTTGTTACATGAAAATATCTTAAGTTAGAGACCATTGTAAAAAGACATTGGTAACATCTAGTTGTCATAGGTGCTAGCATTTTGAGATGACCAAACTCAGGATAAGTATAATTGTTGTGGGTTTAATAAAGAGATTGAATATCTTTGGAAAATCAACACTAGGTCGTTGATGAAACACTTTGGCTACTAGATATAATTTATATCTGGCAATGGATCTGTTTGGGTTCCGCTTAATTTGAAAGACTCATTTACACCCAATGATATTTTGTATGTGATTAAAGGTTACTAGGGTCAACGTAGAGTTATGGAGGAGAGCATCATTTGATGCATAGCATTGCCAGCTTGCTCACCTTCTTCATCAACCCCTTTTTCTGATTCTTGAATGTGACTAGCCGCATGGAGTCGTTGGCGATCCATGCCCGGTTGATCTTCTTCCTCGCCATCTATGTTTCCACCTCTACGAATAAAAATCCTTAATTACATCGAGAGCCGACTTTAATAGGTTGGATCAGATAGCAGAATCATAAAGATCCTGTCAATTACAGAACATGGAAACATGAAACAATTGCTTGAATCTCATCTTTTCTTCCTTCCAGAATATGTTCTTTCCTTAAAATCCTATCATGTTCAAACCCTAGATTTCTCAATTTCTAATATAAACCAAATTACATAATCTCTTTTCATTCATATCCCATCCAATTTGTCTTTCCTATCAAAGCTACTACTAGTTGCCTTTGATTTATTCTATATTTTGACATTCACCGATAAGATATGTAACGAGAAAGGATTTTCCTCAATTGATCAATAAGATTTTATTATGCAATTGGAGAAATCGTATATACTATCATACCCCCACAAAATTGAGTTTCTGTCAAGGATGTCGATCTTGGACTAATACAATGAAAATAGTTTACAGGCAAGAGGCTTTGTGAGTGAGTCTGCTATAAACCAAATTTCTAATATAAACCAAATTACATAATCTCTTCTCATTCATATCCTATCCAATTTGTCTTTCCTATAAAAGCTACTACTGATTGCCTCTGATTTCTTCTATATTTTGACATTCACCGATAAGATATGTACCGAGAAAGGATTTTCCTCAATTGATCAATAAGATTTTCTTATGCAATTAGAGAAATCGTATATACTATCAAACCCCTGCAAAATTGAGTTTCTGTCAAGGATGTCGATCTTGGACTAATATAATAAAAATAGTTTACAAACGAGAGGCTTTGTGAGTGAGGCTACTAGTTGATCAACCGTATGTACGTGAGAAACATGTAGTTTATGTCTGACAATTTGATCTCACACGAAGTGGAAGTTGATGATAATGTGTTTCATGCATGAGTTAAACACTGGATTGATGACAATGTGTTTCATGCATGAGTTAAACACTGGATTGATGATAATAGGTAGCTCCAACAATATCA